TGGTTTACAGCATTAAAAATAAAATCATCTCTCTCCTTTCTTTGGTCCAAAATAGATGAAGTGATATTTCCCTGTATTGAAATCCACCTGGAGCAGTATTAGCCATTTACTTAATCTGTTGTTGGTTTGTAATATTATGCTTCTATGTGCACTATTGAGTATGCCACAAATTTTTGTTTATTTGACTAACTTAGAAATATGGTTCTCTATTGTGTTATTGAAGTCATTAATAATTAAGGTGATAAGTTGCGGTCTCACTATGGATCCTTGTGTAGCATCATTAGATATTTTCTTCCAATTTTCTTCTATTATGTCTCCTATCACCTCACCTAATTTCCATATCAAGTCAATAATACTCAGTTCTAGCTTTTACCTTAATATTCTTTCATGTGGAATGTTACTGAATACTGTCTGGAAGTTTACATAAGTTACATCCATAAGCATGTCCTTGCCTATTACATTATTAATAAATTCTAATAGGTTGATAACACATGACTTACCATTTATTAATCCATGTTGATTGTCTTTAATTAGATCAAATTTCTTGAAATGTTCTGTCCCTTTTTTTAATGATAATAACTTCACGTCGCGAATATTATGTCCGATTCTGCAACTAAGTTTTGAGTGGCAAAACAAGAATCTTGCCAGTGAATAGCAAGAAGCCTATTTGCAAATATTTGTAAGCTATTAGTATCTAATCCTGCCTGATTGATATGCATTCTAATCACTCTAACACCAAATAGAATCTAGATCGTGACAACTTCCCACATAAGAGTCAGAGAAGGTACCTGGGAGCAGCATTGCTTGCTCCTCGAGACAACAATCTTAGGCAGCATCTTACTTTCCACTGCACGACAGGAGCCATCAGCAACACACCCACCTGGGGAGCCTACTTCTGCTACTTTTTATGGTCTTTAGGGTGCAGAATCACTTTTCGTTGTAATGCTACTGCTAGGTAACTTTACATGCAGGGTCAAGCACTCATTTCTTAGATCAGATCAAGGTGCACCTCATGACTTCTTGCTTGCTGTTTTAGGGCTCAGTCACTTCGTGCATACTTGGATGCTCACAGCATGTCTGCTTGCCTTGCCTTTTTACACTTTATCTCCTCATTCCAACCTTAAACGCTCACAGTATTCCTTTCCCATTTAACACAGACTCAAAGCCAGGCAGCTTGTCATAATTTTCAGCAGTGATCAGTCAAGGAGATGGATATGTTCTAGTATGGCACCATGCTACATCATTGTCACATCTGCATGTACCAGCAACTTACATGGCAAAACACTGCATGTTCTTCATCCAAATGTCCATGTCTCAAAGTCAAGTGGGAGTAGTCCTCAGTCAAGTCAAGGGACCTGTCATCAGTCAGTGGGTCCCATTACAGTTAGTTAAGTGCAGAATCCAATCTCAGTCCAGGGGATTGGGTATGATAAAGCAGCGATCTGAAGTGGTCAAGATCAGAGGTTCCATATCATTATAGTCTGGAGAGAGAACCACAATCTGTCCTGCAGGTTGGGTGTTACCAGTCTGAGAATTGCAGTAGGTCAGTCTGGGAGTTGTTTAGAAATCAGTCAGGGGTCTGGCCACTCATTAATTGAGGCTGACTTTCTAAGTTGGTCATGGGGGTGGGCCATAATCAGTCCTGGGAGTCAGCTCAATGAAGGTCAAAGGGGTTTATAAGAGCCACTCCTGTGATAGGGAGGCTGGCTAAATTGATTGTGGAATTGGACGCAGCATGCTGGAATGCTGAGGGGCAATAATTGTGAAAGGCAGTAGTGCAACATATAAGGGTAGGAGATGATGGCCCATTGGAGGACACATGTTATTGCAGGAGGAGGGGTCATTGACTGTCACCATCACCCTGACTTTGACAAGCAAACAGTGCAGCACAATTGTTGACATGCCTAAGCTATAGGCCTAGAGTCTGGGGGTAATGTTGGGAGGTGAAGATGAAATTAAAGGGTTTTTATGGAAACGTGTGGATGTTCAGTATTGATAAACTTGAAAGGGAGTGCCAGAAGAAAGCGACATGGAGGTTCAGGGACGTCTCATAATTACTAGGATGTGCCTGTGTCTCATGTGCCACATACATACTGCATTGTCTTCCATTCTCATGCTAATTGTAAATATGCAATGGAATTTGGAAAATGGCTAGAATGACACCTGGAGTAAGCAGAGTAAATGCTTGTCTGAGCATGGACTTTAATTGTAAGCAATGTGACGTACTTCAGGAGACAATTCCATTAATCAGGCATGACAATGATAATCATAGTAACCTCATGTCAAATGGATGCAGTATCCAATTGTATGGAATACAAATCCGAGTCACAAGCAATCTTGACCATGTCATTGATTATTGCAAATTGAACATCATCATCTCTATAAAGCTGATGTAACCATAGGCCACCTTTAAAGTGCCATTTGCAAGCACATTTCATAAAGACAATTCAAGATCTCATAGGCTGCTCACTTTGAAATGTATGTATTTGTCAACGTTTTCATATGCAGTGCTGCCTTTCTTGGGTGAAGTGGGGAACAAGGTATCAGTAATCCTACTGAACTCACAATCTCTGACTGTATTTGCATCACTTTTGCCATATACATTAGACTGATGCTCCCTATGTCAATGGCCCATGTAGGGGTATTCTTTGGCCCTCCTTGTTGGATACTTCCATATTCCACTGTATGGAGGAATACGCTACATTGTCTTTGGTGTGTAAATGTTAATGCTGACTGCTCTCATTACTAAGGAGCTGTTCTGTTTCTGATATTCTCCACATAGGTTCATTGGAAATGTGGCCAACTGATCTGGCCATAGCAGGGATTATCACTGCAGTGGCTGCGGTGCTATGATCATTCATTGACCCAAAACTTGTTGTTGCTTGAAAGGCTAGTAAACCCTGTATGTACCAAAAACAGATACATCATTTTTTCTCTTTGCTTGTTTTCTCATTGTGTGTGCTGTTGTTGTATAAAAGTGATCATTTTCAACTGTTTGAAGGCTTTTTAGTATGTGCTGCTCAAACATTGAGCAATGTTATGCTACGTTGGGCATTGTGAAAAGAGTAGAACTCCCTTAGACAGCATTCATAGATGCCATGGCACTAAGGATGAAGCTTGATTCTTGTAACTGCAGTTACAGTTACGGTGGATCAGTCAGAAGCTAATGTAAAATAGCAACCATTTACAAACATGAGCTTGAATTTGCAATGAAGTGATGCCTGTGCCACTTATATGCCATCAGAAGATTTTTTTTTGCTTGTGTTCCTGTCTGACTTCATGCCTTGTGAGGGGCAGCTCCTGAGTGACAGCACTCAACCATATCATGGCTAGGTCATAAAAAAGGTGCCATTTTCGGAAATCCTGGGAGATCCCGTCAGTGATGAATTATCACACTGTAACCGAGGGCCCGACATGTGCTGTAGCACATGGTACATGGATAATGAGGTGAGCTGTGGAGAATTGAGAGAAAACTCGCTAGGATTCGACGAGAGAAAGCTTCTACAAAATTGAAGCTTAGCTGATTTTAGGAAAGATTCAGGTCAGGGTGTTGATGTCAACAGGTTCAATATGTCTAGAGTACTTTCAAACATTTCAAACTAATAATGAACCCTCTATAAATTGTAAAACCTCACATTTACATTGTATCTTTGCATGGCATTGAAATAATGACTTTGAAGACAAAAACTATGAAGGCAAGCACAAAGATTTAGAAGGCATAACTGGAAAAAAGGGTTTCAACAAAACTTTTAGCAATGCAATGTTGTGAAATTTGTCTCTGTGCTGTGAGTAGATATGTAGTCATGTGCTGCATGTTTGTTAATGGTAGTGCTTGTTTAAAGCCCCAGTTAAAGGGAACACTGTTGGCAGACAGGGCTTGATACTCTCTGACTGATTCCACCACGTTCATCATTAATAACCGACACAATGGAAGCTTTGTGTTATTTTAACATTCGCCATCATCCATCACTGTTTAACTTGACACCGGGTATCATAGAGAGCTAATAATCCTCAGGCAGGGAATGCATCGCAAAGGGGTTTGAAAAGAAGTAGTTCTTGATTGGAGCGCATGAAGACTATTCAGGGCACGGCAGTAATGTCGAAACTTGATGCTTAGTCCGGAATAGTTGGGCGCTTTCTGTGAAAGTTTACAAGGTGTGAGAACTGTCGCTGAAAGTGAAAACGGCTCGGAGTTGACCTTTCGCCAAACCGAGTGTCCGAAATGTACATCCCAGCACTGAGAGCATTTCACATACCACTGTCTGGGTCTACTCTCATTCAGTTCGCCCTTACTGAGCCCCTGGTGTATGCATGTTCCAAAATCCATCTCCAGGGGTGATACAATAGCAGGATTGTAAAACAGAGTTAATTTGGACGAGCTAGGCTGAAGAGGACGGCTAAAATATGAAATTGAAACAATAGACATCCATTTCCTCCAGTAAATAAACACTGTCTATTGTTATTTCTGGGGATTAAATATTTTCACAATGGAGGCAAAACAATTGATCTCCCACCTGGATCCCAAGGATCTGGGAACTGACGGCAATCAACCACCAGGAGTTAGCCCCAGTGCTGGCTGATTCGGAACTAACCACAGACAGAACCCATGTGGAAACTTTCAGAAACCATGAACAGATTTATTATTATTACTGTTGACTGTTCTCCCGCTGAAGAAAGCACAGTGAATTTGCAAATGTAGCCTGAGCAGGCGATAACTTAGAAAAACGAAGAATGTTTTATTTCTGAAAACAAAAGAACAAAAAACCATAACTTTCAGTGAGTTCGCCGCTGCTTTCAGCACCTCCTGGGAATAGGTGAAATCAGATTGAAGTCCTGATGCACGACGACAGCTAAGAGTTGGATAGAATTTCTGCGCTTTCTATATATATCTCAGTGATTTCATGCCAGCGGAGACTTTAAATGCCACCTAACAGTTGGCGTCGACATACTGCTCTGCAGTTGGTGCTTGAGATAACTTGAGACTAAAAGCCCCATTGATAATGGAGCTTTTCGAAACCAACCCTTATTACATTACAGACCAACGCTTTTTCGACAGCGAAAATGTGTTCCCCTCCCGCTTGCAGGGGTTTGAGCAGAGCGTCTACCAGGAGCGGCTAGGGAGCGGCTTGTGTACCGACGCCAGGTCGCTGGAAGGCGGCTTGGACGAGCACGTGTACTCGGTGTCGGAGCTCCAACACCAACAGCAACATCCACAGCAGAGCTGCCCCGGTCAGTGCTTGCTGTGGGCGTGCAAGAGCTGCAAGAGGAAATCCGTTACCTTAGACAGGAGGAAGGCGGCTACCCTGAGGGAGAAGAGGAGGCTGAAGAAAGTCAATGAGGCTTTCGAGGCGCTGAAGCGCAGCACTTTACTGAACCCCAACCAGAGACTGCCCAAAGTGGAGATTCTCCGCAGCGCCATTCAGTACATCGAGAGGCTCCAGGCTCTCCTCAGCACCTTGAACCAACAGGACAAACTACACTACAGTGGCAGCAACACACGCCAAGTGGCAAGTATCCCGTAGCCCGCGGAAGGCACTGGACCAAACAGTCCAGTCTAGATATCGCAGTAACCAGCACAGTCAACCTTACAATCCTGGAGCCCTGCCCAGAGCAAACCCAGCAGGTGATGGGCTGGAAACTGCTCAATACGTTGTGATGAGTTGGCACCTCTTGTTCACCATCTAGTTTTGCTCAGGCACCATCTCCGGGACTGTAAAATGTTTCTATCAAAGACTTTTCTTAAAAAAAAATCCTCTGCTATCTGGTAAAGACTTATTTATTAAACTTAGAAACAAAGGGTCTTTGAGTGTACAATGTTGCGCCTTTCCCGACCCCAGAACCCCCTTCATAACTAATTAGCTACGTTTTGGTTTGCAGGAAACCCTGCTCGGGAAACTCAGCAAATTCTGGTACCTCCAGGTGCCTAATTGTAATCCACTCCGGCCCCATTTATCTCGGCTCCGTTCTAGTTAAGGATTAAGATCATAGTGGTTTTGTGTCTAAATATATGGGAAGAGATAGCGGAAGGTTAGATACGTTAAATTTATTCAAGTGTACACTTTATGGATTTGCTTTAATAGGCTCAACTATTTCAAATTGACAGCGGAACGAAAACACGAATTTGTGACAATAAAGCTAATCTAATTTATTTTTAAAAGCTTAAAGTGACAGCTCTGGCTCACTTGAAGGGCAAAGAAAGAGGTGCATTTCGGGAGCGCCTTTCACAACTTCATGTGCTTTACAGTCAATGGACTATGTTCATTTTGTAATTTTATTGAAAGAGCCTGATCAAAACATAAGAACGAATTAGCGTGTGTACGTGGACACTGTGTTGATGATTTTGACATACATCCGTCGAAAGAATTAAGTGTTCACCGTTTTACACGCGAGGCGACAAACAGGAGTGTGTGCGATAGTTGAACTGATTTTCCCGAAGGTCCACACAGAGAACAGGTGTTTTGAGCAGTGTTTGAAACAACTGTTGAAAGAAAACAATAAACTTGAAATATTGTTACTCTGCAAGCTTAGCACGCTGCAGCTTCGAAAGCAGTTCGATTTCTACTATAAATACTCTGTAAATACCATCCATCCCTGGTCATTCTTTCCATTACTGCATGTAGGTCGGAGTACCCAGCGACTGCGGATCAAACAGCGCCTCCTGCAGCCCGGAGTGGAGCAGCTCCTCTGATCATTGCAACGCTTCTTTCAACAATCCCAGGGGTAGGTACAGCAGGCGGTGAAAGTGAAAACTCCTCTCAATATTGTCAATTATTCTGTTTATACAGATTCACTGAATAAATCAATGAAGTAGGAATGACATTTGCACTTGCCCACTTGTAGCTAGCGCGAGTCATAGATGGTACCTTTCTAAACAAAGACCCACACACTGTCTTGTCTGAAGGGTTGCACATAGTCATAGAGCATGCAGCATGCAAACAGACCCTAGGGTCCAACCAGGCCATGCTGACCTGGTTGCCAAACTAAACTAGCTCCACCTGCCTTTACTTGGTGCATCTCCCTCCAAATCGTTCCTATTCATGAACTTATGCAAATGTGTTTTATTGTTGTAACTGTACTTGCATCCACCACTTCCTCTGGCAGCTCATTCCACACATGAACTTGTGTTAAAAAAAAGTTGCCTCTCGTCCTTTTTAAATCTTTCTCCTCTCACCTTAAAAATATGTCCCCTAGTTTTGAACTCCCTCACGCCTGGGGATAAGACCCTTGTCATTCACCTTTCTATACCCGTCATGATTTTATAAACCTCAATAAGGTCACCCCTCAATGTAATGTGCTTTTAATTCTTCACACGTTACAGTTGCTTTGCAAATGATAGCTGCAAAGGGTTAAAAATCGCTGTGCAACTCAAACTAGAAAGCGTCAATTTATTGTCACCTGCATAGATTTCATCAACATTCTTTAGTCAGCCCACCAGGAAGCAGGCTTCAGTAGACTGGAAGGTGAGCCACAGCGCCAGCAAATACCATTCCCTAGTATAAGCACCAGCTCAGAAACAATAAAATTAACCTTCTCAAGTGGATCCAAATGAAACACACCATAACTGGGTTCTCAATGACTTGCATTTTACATTGACATAATGAAGCCTTGCAAAGCAGTTCACCAGGGTCAAAACAAAATACTGGAGAGAAAGACCAGGCGATAGACAATGATGCCTTCAAAGCAAAAGCTTGTAAAGAGAGGTTTGAAGCTAGAAGAAATGTAGTGAAGAGAATTTCAGAGTTTGAGGACATAGTGATTAATGGAGGACCAGAATAATGGGGAAAAAAAGGTCAAACAAGGTCAGAATAACTGAAGGTAAGAACTGGGTAATGGGCTGAAGGGGCTTATGGAAATAGGCTGGAGTTGGATTTTCAAATCATTGGTAAAAATGGACAAATATGTTGAAATTTAGTGATGAGGGATAAGGTTCAATGGAGGACAAAAAGCAGCAGAATTTAGTATGGGTAGGTGTTTGCTAGTAGAGGATTGGATAAATTAAAATACGTGTGGGCTGGAGTTTAGGCGATACCAGGAGTGGCACAGAGCGTGATGTGAACAATATATGGTGGTGAAAAACACCACTCTTTAAGCATTGGGTATGAGATTTGAAACTCGGGTCATGTGAATGTAGCATGCCCAGTGCTGACAAGTGAAGTCAGTTTGAGCAGCCAGGAAAGGAATGAAATGAAGGGGGCCTATAGTACAATGATTTCAGTGGGACCTGAAAAGGAACAATTTGATTTTCCTAATGTTGAGCTGTAGGAACCTGATGTCAATCAAGAATTGGGTGGCACAGCGACAATTATGGAGGCAGGGATGGTTTTACAGAGGCTACAGCTGAGTTGAAACTAAAAGATGCTGATGACTTATGCACGTAGTTGAGGAATAAGCAGAGGCCAAAGATGAAATGCTGGGAATGGGAATAAAAGCCATTGCTGGAGGTGCATTATGTTAGATTCAGTATCTTTGAGACCATGAAGGAGTAATGTCACAAATGTTGCAACAGCAAGGCATCAGTGGAGGAAGATGGGATGATACACAGGCTCAAATGCTATACAGAGGCTAAGGAAATAAACAAGTGATAATGCAGCCCAGTCAGTCATGACCTTCATCATTAAGACTGATCATGGTTTATTGCTATGATTTAAGCTTCAAAACAAAAATTCTCCATTCATACAGGAACAAAATTTCAGACTGCTATGCTGAAGTAATTTACCACACATTCAGCAGTATTTCTTGTGAATGAATGGCTATTTTTCAAAAGGCAATAATGACATGAACTGTAATGCATTTTTTTACTTACATTCTAATTGCCAGAATTTAAGCACCAGTGTTTTCGCTATAGAATATTTTGGATTATTGATCAATACGTGTTGTGTAACATTGATACATTATCTATGTCATTCTTTCCACAGATCACTTACTACCTGTGAATAAGGGCCAGTCATCTGGAAGTACCAGCTTGTGTTCTCTCTCTTCTATAGTGGACAGTATCACACCAGAGGACTCACCAAGCAGCTATTTAGAGGACAACACCCCAAACTGAATGATAACATTTGGTCTTTCCAATCTGTCTTTTTTATAATTGAAGCTTTTTTTTTATTTTTATACATTTTTGATGTGTGTTGTGCCTAAGGTTTGTTGAGTCAAAAGGGTTGCTTTATTAGAGAAAATAAGTCATTCCTAATTCTTAAAGCTGTTTAAAATGGCCAATCCTTTGTTTATGGAGCTTTATGACCAATGTGTGATTTTGTAACCAGAGTCAGAAATGACTGTTGTAAATATACATTTCTCCTTTTTACCATTAATTTGTTTTGAGTGATTCTATTATTTGGATTTTGTGCTAAATTATTTTGGTTTTTACAATAAAGATTTTGTTATAAAACATGTCAATGTTGCAATCGTGAGAGAAAGTATTTAAAAGACTGGCTCAATTACTGGATTTGGTTTCCGTTATAAGTTGAAAGGATAAAGAGTGGGACAATTATTTTTGTAATATCCACCCTAAAAGAACCAAGAAATTTATTAAAATATGCAAGTGATTCTATACAAAACTACAAAACAGCATTTTGCTGCATTGTGGGGGTTATTGTATTGTTACTGACTTTCGTTCTACAAGCTTTTTGATCACATATTATTTAGAATGAGGCTTAAAATACTTGTACACACTGAGACCTGTTTTAAAAAAGTAAGGTCACCACAGTCTAGAGAGAGAGATGACTGGTGGTGGAGATTAACCTAACTGACACCACATTTCAGCTAAGCAGCAAGGATGAGAAGGTGGGAGCTTTGTAGCAATCTCAGGAGTTGAACCCACACTGTTGGCGGCACCTTGCATCAAAAACAAGCCATTCAGTCAACTGAGCTAACCAACCCCGGTGAAGACCTATAGTTTGCTTCTTTAAATTGACTATGGATTGATCCTCACATTTGTCCCTACAACTTATTGTGACCACACGGTCTACGTTGTACGTCATTTTATTGAGAGTGGGCTAGAGAGATGTCAATAACTTCAAACACCACATGTCACAAATATGTAAGTTTTAACAATTATTTGAACCATTGAAACAATGAAAAATCAAATTCCATTTTTGGTTCATTTCATTTTATCAAAGCCTTTTATCACAGCTCTCTCTATATATATTGCATGTAAATTCCATAAGAGCGCCTTGGTAAAATAAATTCTAATCATCTAAACTAATGCATTGCTTAACCTATCCTGGAAATTCCATTGCTCCTTCTAGCCTTTCTCTCATCTGATAAACTATGGGCTTAAAATCAAATCTTGGTCTGCAATAATCATTACTTTCTAGATAACAGCATATTTCCTCTCTGCCTCCTTGATAGTGTGAGTCCAATGGACCTTGGTTGTACACCTCTTTAAAAACAAAGGTAGAGTATTAGGAATTTATTGTCTTCTTCTATATGAGCAAAACATTACAGTCTGTTGAAGTGCAAAAGAAATAAAAAAGCATGAGTTCACATTGTGACGTGAGATGTGTTAATCATCAGGATGTAACTGTGTAGAGATCGTTTCAAAAGTAACAGAATGGTAACAATTGCAGAAACCTTCACCTATTACAAGCCTTTAAAATCCTTCATGGTGCTTAGAACTTAATTTCTGAATTCCATTTGTTCTCTCTGCCTGCACCTTGCTCCTGCTGATGGCATGATTACTTTTGTAGTTGTAAATCTAATTTATCTTGTTACTACAAAGATTACAGTAGAGGTGAATTCAATCATGCTTGAGTGCTTACCCACAGACTTCTTCAAAATTACAATGAAAACCTGTGTTTCATTCTTGTTGGAATCAATTTATAGAGATACCCCACAGAACCCTGTAATCCTCCACTTCAATCAACCTGACGGCAGGAGGCACACAGCCTGACAATATAAAATAAAATGATAATATTGATTTCTGTATTACTTTTAACGGAATCAAATAAAGCATACGTTTTAAAATAATAGTGTTAAAGCACACAGAACATTACCCTGTTACGTACAAACAAAATTAATCATTAGGAACAGACTGATTGGTTCAGAAGGCTTAGTCCGTACCATGTTGACCAAAGCATGATGAATCTTCTTTTCTTCCCCTCTGGCCTATCTTCTCCCTCGTATCCTATTTATTAGATCTCTATAAGGACACTTATACATCTACACTATTCTAAAGGAGATAAACCAAGGCCTTTGATACTTTCCGAGTAGCTAAGGCTCTTTATGCTAGGAATCATTCTTGTCGGTTCTTCTAAGTTAACTATATCATCCAACATGAACAGGAACTAAGACTGGGCACAGTGTTCCAGGTACAGTCTATCTGTTGAAACACTGACATATGAAAGTGCAGTCCTGTGCACATCAAAAGCATCAGAGGATACATCTAAGATAGTAGGAACTGCAGATGCTGGAGAATCCGAGACAACAAGGTGCAGGGCTGGATGAACACAGCAGGCCAAGCAGCATGA